AAAAGACCAAGAAATAGAAAAAAAGGACGAAAATTCCAAACACTGTCTCTAATCATCCCGAAGTACTCTATATGAAGGAACAATAAAAAAAATGCTGTTTTCTTCGTGTGTCTACAAAGTGTGGAGGTAACTGATTATACAACAGTAAGTTCGAACTGAAAAAATACCGAATTTTGTATTATTTCTTTTATTTTATCCAGCAGTAGCAGAGTTCCTACAATTCCAGATTTACTACATCATTAGGTATCAATAAATGAACAAATTTGACATAATTTAAAATAAGTGAAAGATTGCATTTCACGATTTTTGTTATTCGTTCACTCGCTTAGGCATAACATGTTTCTGTTGGGCATAACATCTGCTGTTCTCCGCTTACCATTTAAAAGACATGTAGATGAACAAACACCTTTATCTTTTTGTACTACTACTTTATTACATAAAATACATAATGTTTCATATAGAAAAGTTTCATATGGTTTTAATGATTTAATAATACCACGACGTGTTATATTAAGACCATTTGGTAATAAAAATAATATTAATGTAATTAAATGAATTACATGAATGAAAGCCAAATTACATTTGACCACAAAATTACGAATAGCATCATATGCATTACATAATTTGATTGAACCACCATTATATACATATAGCACCATACCGAAAAATTCTAGCAGATCGTTAAAAAAGTGCATTTTTCAGTATAAAAAAAGACGTTGGTGCTTTCCGACAAAAAGTCATAACTCATTGAAGAAAGGTCGCACCGAGTCGTGCAACGTCTCATTTTGACGAGAAAAGTCTGCTCTATCTTACTGAATGATTGAAAATGAAATTTAAACTGGCTTTTTTTTATTTAAGACCTTTAAATTTTTAAAATTGTAGTTTTTTTAAACCTGCTAAATTTAAATGAAAATTTTTCTTCGTACATACTTAGATACTCCAAGGTGTCTCTCCATAAATCTGTTCTCGGGTTTATTCTGGCTACTTTAGTTCACGAGAAAATTTAAAAATGAAAATGGTCTTAAATTTTTGTCCGCCACTTTATTTTGAGTTATACTTTACTTGACAGAGAATTGGAAACTGAATTATAATCAGTGTTTGACTTGTCTGTTGAGTGAAAACCGATAATCCCAGATAGTTCAGTCTCTGATGCAGTATTTGAATTATCTTTTCTTCCCTGGAGAGATTTTATCTTAAATTCACTGTCCATTTGTATGGACGTTGAAATCACGATGAAATATTTTTTGAAAAACACGATTTTTTTTCATGTAAATCATTTATAGAGTAGTCAAATTAAGAAATCTCACACTAGATACATGTTTATTTTATATAATTAACAAATCTGAATAAGATGTGCATAAAGTGTTTGAAAAAAAATTGGGGTAAAACTCAGAAAAAGTCAGAATATTCAATGGGAAAACTTCAGCTGAAACTCATTCTATTTGGTACTAGAGAATAGTCCCGTCCAGAAAACTTCGTTCAGCAAGATGGACAGATTCCTAGGAAATACAATTATCTGAAACTTAAACGCATAAAGGTGATCTAGATAGCGCAGTTGTACAACTTGTTCAACGTTTCACTTTAAATTTATCCACAAGAATTTCCAATGGTTAATTTTAAGAAAAGAAACCGTGATTTTGAAATACAACAGGTGCGGTGTAATGATTCGTTTACGGTATAGTCCAAGGTAAATGAGCTCGTAGTTTGCCTTTTTCTCCATCAGATTTCATCTTTTCAGCGAAACTAATGTCATGTTTGGAATCAGTATCAAAAACTGAATCGTGAGTCGAATGATATGCATTTGAGAATTTTTCTACAACTTTCATTTTTCAGTGGAAATTTCAGGTTTTCGTTTTTGACAAACCTCAAGAACGATTTTTCAAAAGTTGAAACACAATATTCGGATGCAGCTCAACGAGCTCTATCCAACCATATGTAAATTATTCAAAACAAAAATTGCGCTCCTCCTCTGAATTATGTGCTGGTTCTTTATCATTGTTGTCCATTGAATATTTCGTTCTTTATGTGCTTGAATTATTGATATATACAATTAAAACTATTAATATATGCTAATATTACTAAATAATACTACAAGCAATTCGGTATGAATGAATGAGTAAAATGAACGATATCACGTGAATTATTTTATTACGCAATTAGTGATGGCCGAAAGAGGTACGTCAGAAATGCAAGAAGGAAAGAGAAATTCGTTGACGGCTAGAATTTTCTTTCGGTTCCTGTACGAAATAACGTAATATGTCGAGGTCGTATGAAGGTATCCATGGCTTTCCATTCATAATCAGAGTCCCCAAATCTCCTGATTTTGACCAGGAGACTCCTGATTTTTAAGATTTTCTCCTGATTTCTGCTGATTTGCAATTGTTTTCCTGAATCGATTTTGTTTTTTTCCAAAACTGAGATTATTTCGTTTCAGAAACAGAATTTCTGGATCAAGAGTCTAAATAACTGTACATTGAAAGAGTCCGCTGTGTGTTACCGAATGTTCTTTTCACAAGAAGATGTGATTAGTGCACTTCTAAATCCATCGGATCAAAATCTTCTTCCTCAATCCGTACTGCAGTCTGTAATTAATGAGAATACTGTTCATCAAAAAATAGTTCAAAAAAGAATTTCTTTTGAAAAACCTATGTTTTTGAAAAAATTATTGAATTTGTTTGTTTTGTTCATGAAAAATCTGCCTGATACTATCCCGATCAACTCCTGATTTTTACGAAAAACTCCTGATTTCAAAAAACAGGATTTGGGCACCCTATTCATAATCGCCACTGTCAATGCAATTCGCGATTGTGAATAAAAGTGAAGCCTGTAATATAATATGATATGACGTTTTATGTTAATACGTTCAAGCTATCTGCTCATTCACTTTGCTGGCAACTATCGAAAAAAAGATCTCCGCTTTACGCTTTGAGGTTCATCATTAACATCTGATGCTTATTGTAACTGCGGAAATATGCTCTATTTAGAGAACTAAATTGGCTAATGAGCAGCTTTCCATGTCTAGAAATTTTTTTGCTTGAAAGAGAGTATTTAACGTTTGTCTTTTCTTTCTTTCTTTTGTTGCAGATAAATGACAATGCTAAGTTTTTCACGGTTAACAAAATCTGGTAAATTCAATAACGTACCTATCTCGCTTAGTCACTGGTTCTGATAATCAATTTTGTATGAACTTCTTATAAAATTATACCTGATTCTGACAAAAAAACTGTCTGGATTTTGCAGATCCAGCAGATACTCTTGTGTTTCCTTATTCAATTTGCTACTCTCTTAACCTGTTCTTACCGTGTTTGAAAACCATTTCAATCTCTTATTATACACTTATTGAATAAGCGTCATGACTTGATACAGTACTAAACCAAATCCGAACGGAAAGAAGTAATTTGATGTGATATTTTCAAATATGTTATATGTTTGAAAATACCAAATTTGGTTTTTACCCTGTGGAAAATCCCCGTTTTGGTACTGTGAAATACTGTCCAACTTATCTTTATGAAACAGTTGGTAATCTATACAACTAAAACCGTTTTTCAGTTTCGAAAAAACCTAAGTCGCAGCGTAAGAAACCACACTGGTATCTCAAGACCCATTGGTATTTCAGAGCGAATTTAACATTAACACAAAACTAATTTGATTCTGTAGCACACTCTTCATGAGTATTTTAGTAAACCCTTTTGATATCCTACCAGAAATGAAAAACCCTGAAAAGACATCTTAGAATATTAAATATTCTTTTGGTACTTTAGTTTGCCTGCTAAACGGAACACCACAAAATCAGATGGTTCAATCGCTGCAGAGAAACCTAATTTGGGTTTATATATCTCGTACAGAGCCAAAATTCGTTTTGAATTCCAAATGCCATACTGTTTTCGTTTTTTAAAATACTGATTCGTTTGAGAGTAGCTGTTATCATTTACCGAGTGCGCTCTGTTGTGAAATATATAGAATGTTTAATCATTTTAATTATTCGTTATTCATTAACAAATATTTATTTCTTTTTCTATTACGTAGTGAATATACAGTAATAAATTATTTTTATTTATTTTTGAGAAAGGCTCTCTTCCGTAACGTTGTCACACGAGCAAAAGGGATCACAGACGAGATTGAGAAGACACAAGTCTTTCCGCACTTGTGAGAAACCGACGCTGCATCTGCAAAAGCTAATATCTGCATCTCTGTTATAAATAAAAGGTATCTTCGGTATCGTATTATATTTTCTTCATCAATAACTCGTCTACGTAGAAAAGCACTAATGAATAGATTAAAAATAGAATACAAAAGCATGCATATTATCGATGATTTTATGCATATTATGAAATAAAGTGCATAAT